CCTGTCACCGCGCCCGGCTGTGCACACCCGCGCCTCGATGCGCCCGGACCGCGCCCCGCCTTCGCCGACAGCCCCGCATGGACGCGCCACTCGCGCATGCCTCGCTCCTCTGCATCGTGCCCCGCCTCCGCCCGTTGCTGGCGCTGCTGATGCCGTGTTGCGCCCGCCTCCCCGCGCGCCTCTGCTCGCGGCTCCACCGGCGTCCGTCACCGCTGCCCCTGGCCGTGCCCCTGCTCCCCTCGCCCTGCCGTGGCCGGCGCCTCGCCGTGGCCACCGGCCTTCCCTGCTCCCCTCGCCCTGCCGGCTCCGCCCACCCTCCTGGGCGTGCGCCCGAACGAACGGGTGCGGGTTGCGCCCGAACCCGCACCGCCCTGTGCCCGCTAGCCCCCCCGGGCCACTGACTAGGGGGCCCCACCCCATAACGTTTTTTTTTTAAATAAATAAATAAAATAAAATAAAATAAAATAAAATAAAATAAAATAAATAAATGTATTAAATAAATAAATGAATAATAACTAAAATAATTAAAACATTAATTAATTAATTAATTAAGTAAATAATTAATTTAATTAATCCTGATTAATTAACCTAATGGCTAATTAACCTAATTAACTACTGTTAATTAAACTAAACTAGGGTAATTAGTTAACAGTCACTGACGAACGGGACCCACATGTCAGGGTTGACTCAGTCAACCCCTGTTGACTGCTGACGTCAGCATGACATCATGCTGACGTCATAAATACATTTTTCGAATTAATTAAATAAATAATTAAATTCCAAAATTGTTAAAATCTTTTAAAAATCATATCTTTTAATCCGTAACTCGGATTAAAATATTTTCAACATGAAAGTTGCTCAGAACGACGAGACGAATCCGGATACGCAACCCGTTCGTCCGCCACACACCCCTAACCTATCGAACTCGCAACTTTCCCCCTCCGGCTCCTCTGCCCGAAAACACGAAACACCGGGAATACTTTCCCGGATGTTTTCCCCCCTTCACCGGTATCACCTACTACCGCGTTAGGGCACACCGAACACCGCGTATTGCCTTGTTATATTTTGTGATGCTTTGTTTGCTCTGTATTCATTATTTCTTCCCCCTCTTCTCTCCGGTAGACTACGAGACCGACGCTGCTGCTGACCAGTTCGACTACGGAGTTGACGACCCCTCTCTCTTGCCAGAGCAACCAGGCAAGCCCCCCCTTGATCACCAGATATCGCCTACTCTTCTCTATACTGCTTGCATTAGAGTAGTGTAGCATGTTACTGCTTTCCGTTAATCCTATTCTGATGCATAGCCTGTCATTGCTGCTACAGTCATTGATACCTTACCCGCAATCCTAAATGCTTAGTATAGGATGCTAGTGTTCCATCAGTGGCCCTACACTCTTGTCCGTCTGCCATGCTATACTACTGGGCTGTGATCACTTCGGGAGGTGATCACGGGCATATACTATATACTTTACACTGTTACATTACTGGTGATACTGTTTGGAGATGGGGGCTGAAGGGGCAGGTGGCTCCATCCAGGTAGTGGTGGGCCTGAGTTCCCGACGGCCCCCGACTGTTACTTTGTGGCGGAGCGGCAGGGCAGGTTGAGACCACCTAGGAGACAGGTGGGCCTGGCCCTGTTCGGCGTTCGCGGATACTTAACACGCTTAACGAGATCTTGGTATTTGATCTGAGTCGGCTACGAGCCTATATGCACTAACCATCTACGTGGGAGTAGTTATGGGTATCCCGACGTCGTGGTATCAGCCGAAGCACTTCAGACGTCAGCGACGGAGCGGCGCGCGCCGAATTGGACTGGAACGCCACTAGGCTAGGTCTGCTTTCGGCCGCCCTCGCAACGTGCAGGTGTGCTATGGGCGATGGGCCCAGACCCCTGTGCGCTTAGGTTTAGACCGGCGTGCTGGCCTCTCTGTTGTGCCTAGGTGGGGCTGCGACGTGTTGATCTTCCGCGGCCGGGCATGACCCAGGAAAGTGTGTCCGGCCAAATGGGATCAAGCGTGTTGGGTTATGTGGTGCACCCCTGCAGGGAAGTTAATCTATTCGAATAGCCGTGATCTTCGGTAACAGGACGACTTGGAGTTGTACCTTGACCTTATGACAACTAGAACCGGATACTTAATAAAACACACCCTTCCAAGTTCCACAGACAACCCGGTGATCGTTTTTCCGCAGGGCGACGAGGAGAGGATTGCCGGGTAGGATTATGCTATGCGATGCCACTGGAGATGCTACTGGAGATGCTACTTGGAGATGCTACTTAGAGATGCTACTTGGAGGACTTCAATCTACTCTCTTCTACATGCTGCAAGACGGAGGCTGCCAGAAGCGTAGTCTTCGACAGGATTAGCTATCACCCTCTTATTCTGGCATTCTGCAGTTCAGTCCACTGATATGGCCTCCTTACACATATACCCATGCATATATAGAGTAGCTCCTTGCTTGCGAGTACTTTGGATGAGTACTCACGGTTGCTTTTCTCCCTCTTTTTCCCCCTTCCCTTCTACCTGGTTGTCGCAACCAGATGTTGGAGCCCTGGAGCCAGACGCCACCGTCGACGATGATTCCTACTACACTGGAGGTGCCTACTACTACGTGCAGGCCGCTGACGACGACCTGGAGTAGTTTAGGAGGATCCCAGGCAGGAGGCCTGCGCCTCTTTCGATCTGTATCCCAGTTTGTGCTAGCCTTCTTAAGGCAAACTTGTTTAACTTATGTCTGTACTCAGATATTGTTGCTTCCGCTGACTCGTCTATGATCGAGCACTTGTATTCGAGCCCTCGAGGCCCCTGGCTTGTATTATGATGCTTGTATGACTTATTTATGTTTTAGAGTTGTGCTGTGATATCTTCCCGTGAGTCCCTGATCTTGATCGTACATATTTGCGTGCATGTTTAGTGTACGATTAAATTGGGGGCGTCACAAGAGCTGGGCGCCACCACGGGTAAAAAATTTCCATTGGCTTGCCGCCCAGGATCGCTGCTGGACTGCAGAAAGGCTTGCACGACGTGGCTTGCAGCATCACCCTCAATGTTTTCGAGTCGATGAGTCGACGGGTCGCTCGGAGGGGGCGACTCTAGACTAGTCGTGACTAGTCTAGACTCACGGTCGACGAGTCGACATGGCGACGAGTCGACGTGAGTTAAGCAGCAGGCAGTCAGGGGAGGAGCACAAGTGCACAGCAGCAGCAACAACCAGGGGAGGAGGGGAGGAGCACACCACCAGCAGCAGTAACCAGGGCCAACTGAGAGATGGGCCACTAGTTGTGCACTTCCCTGTGGCCCAAAAGCCCATCTAGTAGCTATATACTCCTCCCGTGACCTAATCCACCATCCACACTCCCTCCTCCCTCACCACAGCCGCCACACATTCTGCTGCCACTCCCTTGCCACCAGTCCACCACTTCTCCTCCCAGCGATGGATATCTCAACTCCCCCGCAGCAGCTCTCTTGCCACCGCTCCTCCCAGCCCGCTCCTCTTGCCGCTGCAGCTTCAGCAGCAGCAACAGCGGCGGCCAGCGCTGCAGCGGGGGCGCAGAAGCAGCAGCAGCAGCACGACGGCGGGAGAGTGCTCCTGATCCAGCGCTGCCTCGAGTCGTTCGACCCAAAAACCGCGACTAGTCAAGACTAGTCGCACGAGTCGCTCGACTCATCCCAGGAGTCGAGTCGAGAGGCTGAGTCGGCCCTGGAACTGCGACTCGTCGACTAGTCGACTAGTCGCGACTAGTCGAGCGACTCAAAATCCATGATCACCCTCGATGCCTCCTTTGCGACCAGGCCTTGGAAACTATCCAGCACCTGCTGCTGACCTGCCCCTTTGCACGTCAGACCTGGCACATTGTCCTTGATTGGTTGCATATTCCGGTCCAAATCCCCGATCAGGAGCACACGGTCATGGAGTGGTGGCTGCGCGCAAAAGAGCTCGCGCCGCCGGCGCATCGAAAGGCCCTCAAATCCATCGCGCTTCTTGTGCCCTGGATGCTATGGAAGCACAGGAACGCGTGAGAATGCCACGCCATCCATCGAATCACTAGTGGATAGGATCAAGGACGAGGCCCGGTGTTGGGCTAAAGCAGGAGCCCAGGGGCTTCGGGTTGTTCTGCCCACAACCTGGGATGTCCACTGATTTTGTGCTTTTCTATGTACTGCTCACCTCCTAGGAGGATTGTTCTACCTTTTCCATGAAATGAAATGCAAAGGTCCTTTGCGTTTTCTCAAAAAAAAATAGGTTTTGAGATCATAGTAGCCAGCTTTAATTAAGTTGTTCTTTGGATTATGGGAATTAAAGCTGGGTTAAAAATAGGTTTTGAGATCATAGTAGCCAGCTGTGGCCACCACGCCGCCACGACACTGACCGGCATCAGAGCTGCTCCGCCCCCAGTATACAATTCCGCCTGCCTGCAGGAGCAGGCAGGTCGAAGCACCGGGCGCCGGCACGGACGCTGGCCTGCCCTCAGTATTTGGCTTCATCCACTACTCGTGTTTACACAGTATTTTTTAGATGTCAAATAACGAAATGGACTATTGATGGTTGGTATTAAATACGAGTAAACACGAATAGTGTCATGAAGCTTCTTCATACCTCGTGATATTCCCCACCATATTTCGTGTTCAAGAGCAAGTCTTCTAAATTCAAGCACGGAGGGCCAGATATGAGAAGCTACATGAGAAAGAAAAGGCAAGTGGACATCAGAAAATTAGAAATATATCGAATGTGTTGCTAAGAAGTAGCTTGTATAAACCAGTACATACCTGAAATTCATGTTCATTGAACATATCGATCCATTTTTTAGGTATCAATTGTTGAAGACCTCTCAAAAACTGTGCAGTTTGAATACAGGCCTGTTTACCATAAAAAGACATTGTTTATCAGTGATGGATAAGTCTGTGTACTAGGGTCCTTGTGGGGCTGCAGCACATGGTCCTTGTGGCAGTTAGGAGGATAAAGTCCTGGACCATCAAGGACTGGCTGTTAGGATAGAGTTCTGTTCTTGACCATCAAGGACTGTCAGTTAGCATCTTAGACTAGCATCTTAGACTGGCATCTTAGCAGCATCTTAGCATATGCCTTGGCTGGCTAGCAGCCTATAAATATGTATCCCCAACCCCTCAGGTTGGCATGGCATTGTGTGAGAAATAAACCAACGAAAATTGTCCCAACTCTCCTAGTGTCATCCACAACTATCAATGCTTAGGCTGAAAGGTCTAACAAGTGGTATCAGAGCCAAGTTAACCTGCACCCTGAGCATTTCCTGTGAGCAGCCCAAGTCGGTAGCAGCAGCTGCTCCGTCTGCCTCTGGTTACCTTCCTCCCTCCGGACTGTCGAGCAGCAGCTCGTCTTCATCAGCCTCCTCTTCACGCAACAGCCCCCCCTGCAGCGAGCCATGTCTGCAGGTCGCTCTCAGCACACGGCTACCTTGAGCATGCGGCGCCGGCAAGAGGCCGAGCGCGCCGTGGCAGAGGAGCGTGAGCGAGCGGCTGTAGCAGCGGCTGCTGCGGCGGCAAGAGTGTCGAGGCTGGCTGCAGCGGAGCTGGCAACAGCCAGAGCAGAGGTAGAAGCAGCCAGGGCGGAGGTAGAAGCAGCAGCAGCAGCAGAAGCAGCCCGTGAGGCTACGGCGGATGCCAAGGCACTCCGCGGCAGCCCCGGCAGCTCCAGCAGCTCCGCGCCTGCGGACGACGGCGCCGACGCAGATCGCGCCAAAGTGGCGCAGGAGCGGACGGCGCAGTGGGCAGCCGAGCACGCCCGCGCTCCAGGTGGAGGCGCGCACCGCGACGGCGGCTGCAACGACCAGGACCGCGGCCTCTACGAGGTCCGGACTGTGGTCAGGGATGTTGGTTCCAGTGTTGGGTGGCCTACCCTCACTAAAACCAACTACGTCGAGTGGGCCGGGATCATGAAGTTCAGGCTCCAGGTGCGGCGCATGTGGGAGGCAGTCCAGGACAGCAACGTCGACCACCTAGAGGATCGACGGGCGCTGGACGCCCTCATCGCCGCAGTCCCGCCCGAGATGCAGTTCTCGCTTTCCAACAAGCGGACTGCCAAGGAGGCTTGGGACGCCATCGCCGCAGCACCCATCGGCAGCGACCGTGCTCGCAAGTCCACCCTGCAGGCACTTCGTAAGGAGTGGGAGAACCTGGGCTTCAAGCCAGGTGAGGACATTGATGACTTTGCTCTCCGTCTCAACACTCTGCTGCAGAAGATGGTGAAGTTTGGCGATGCCACCTACACCGAGGAGAGAGCTGTCGAGAAGCTTTTTCGGTGCATTCCCGAGAAGTACAAGCAGATGGCTCGCTCGATCGAGTCGTTGCTGGACCTCTCCACGATGACGATCGAGGAGGCGATAGGTCGACTCAAGGTCGTCGACACCCACGAGCCACAGCCCCCCTCGGGGCCCGTCACCACCGGCGGGAAGCTGCTCCTAACTCGAGAGCAGTGGGATCCCAGCCTTGGTGACAAGAAGAAGGGGGAGCCTTCCTCCTCGACGGGCGGCCGCAAGCGTGGCAAGCAGCGTAAGGCGCGAAGAGGCCCCCCGGGCAGGGCACAAGGACGTGCCGAAGGTGACGCCCGCGGAGGCGCCAAGGACGGCGCCGCTGGCAAGCCCAGGCCGGCACAAGACAACAGTTGCCACAACTGTGGCCGGTTTGGCCATTGGGCCAATGAGTGTCGGCAACCACGACAAGGCCAGGCTCACGTCGCACAGGCGAAGGAGGAGGAGACGGCTCTGTTCATGGCACATGCAAGCATTGAGCTACCCTCGGCGACTCCAGTCGCAAAGGCTTTCATCCACCTCGATGAGCCAAAAGCACACGCTCTTCTAGGCGATGGCTCCGAGAAGGACAAGGCTACGAGGTGGTGCCTCGACACCGGCGCCACCCACCACATGACCGGTCGAAGGGAATTCTTCGCCGAGCTCAACTCCGATGCGCGAGGCTCCGTCAAGTTCGGGGATGCCTCCGCTGTGGAGATAAAGGGCGTCGGCTCCGTCATCTTCACCACCAAGATGGGAGAGCACCGGCTGCTCACCGGTGTCTACTACATCCCCGCGCTAAGGAATTCCATCATCAGCTTGGGACAGCTGGATGAGAACGGCTCACGCGTGCTGATTGAGCATGGGGTCCTACGCATCTGGGATCGCCAGCGTCGCCTTCTCGCCAAGGTGCCCAGAGGTGAAAATCGACTCTACGTCCTTGATGTGCAGGTGGCACAACCGGTCTGTCTTGCTGTCCGTCGAGACGACGAGGCGTGGCAGTGGCATGAGCGCTTTGGGCACCTTCACTTTGAGGCCCTGAAGCGTCTAAGTGCCAAGGAGATGGTGCGAGGCCTGCCATGCCTCGACCATGTGGAGCAGTTCTGCGACATCTGCGTACTGACAAAGCAGAGACGACTCCCCTTTCCCCAACAGGCGAGTTTTCGGGCTAAGGAGAAGCTGGAGCTCGTGCACGGAGACCTGTGCGGCCCGGTGACGCCAGCCACACCAGGAGGTCGACGCTACTTCCTGCTGCTCGTCGACGATCTCTCCCGCTACATGTGGGTGATGATCGTCGGCAGTAAGGGAGAAGCGGCGGACGCCATCAGGCGCGCGCAGATTGGTGTGGAGGCGGAGAGCGGCCGCAAATTGCGCGTGTTGCGCACTGACAACGGCGGCGAGTTCACGGCAGCTGAATTCGCGTCGTACTGCGCCGATGAGGGCATCCAGCGCCACTACTCCGCGCCGTACAGCCCGCAGCAAAACGGCGTCGTCGAGCGGCGCAACCAGACGGTTGTGGGGATGGCTCGGGCTCTCCTCAAGCAGAGAGGGATGCCGGCTGTCTTCTGGGGAGAGGCGGTGCTAACGGCCGTCTACATCCTCAACCGCTCTCCTACTAAGGCACTCGACGGCAGAACTCCGTACGAGGCCTGGCATGGGCGGAAGCCGGCGGTCTCTCATTTGCGGGTCTTTGGCTGCCTTGCGTTCGCCAAGGAGCTCGGCCACATCGGCAAGCTCGACGACAGGAGCACTCCGGGAGTCTTCATCGGCTACGCGGAGGGCTCAAAGGCCTACCGCATCCTCGACCCAAAGACACAACGTGTGCGCACAGCGCGAGACGTCGTGTTCAACGAAGGGCGAGGGTGGCAATGGGACAAGGCGGTGGACGACGGCTCGACGCCGACGTATGACGACTTCATTGTCGAGTACGCTCACTTCAAGGAAGCTGGGGGAGCAAGCAGCTCCTCTTCACCGGGCACGTCTACCCCGGCCCCCAAAACTACATCGACTTCGGCGCCTGCTACACCGACGACACCACAACCGACGACGCCGCATACTCCAGCCCCGGCGGTCGCCACTCCGGGCTCGTCTTCATCAGCACCAGCTCACGCAGAGCACAACCCGATGAAGTTCGCTTCCCCGCTCACTCACGACGAGGAGCGGGTCGACGCATGGTATGGAGGCGAACCGTTGCGGTACCGTACGATGGATAATGTGCTCGGCGACCAGCCGGTGCCAGGACTGGTGCCACGTGACCTGGAGGCACAGCTACAGCTCGTGTGTGAAGACGGCGAACCACGGTCCTTTGCAGAGGCCGAGAGAGACGCGGCATGGCGCGCCGCGATGAAGTTGGAGATGGATGCGGTCGAGCAAAACCGCACCTGGGAGCTTGCTGATCTCCCTCGAGGTCACCGCGCAATCACCCTTAAGTGGGTGTTCAAGCTGAAGAGGGATGGAGCCGGCGCCATCATCAAGCACAAGGCTCGTTTGGTGGCCCGAGGCTTCTTGCAGCAGGAACGAGTCGACTTCGACGACGCTTTCGCTCCCGTGGCACGGATGGAGTCCGTGCGACTTCTCCTTGCGCTGGCTGCCCAGGAGGGCTGGCGTGTTCACCACATGGACGTTAAGTCGGCATTCCTCAACGGCGACTTGAAGGAGGAAGTCTACGTGCATCAGCCACCGGGGTTTACGATTCCCGGCCAGGAGGGCAAGGTGCTCCGCCTGCGCAAGGCTCTCTATGGCCTGCGGCAGGCACCCAGGGCGTGGAACGCCAAGCTGGACTCCACGCTGAAGAAGATGGGTTTCGAGCAGAGCCCGCATGAGGCTGCCGTCTACCGACGGGGGAGTGGAGGAAATGCCCTGCTGGTGGGCGTCTACGTTGACGACCTGGTGATCACCGGCACCAAAGATGCAGAGGTGGCGGCGTTCAAGGAAGACATGAAGGCCACGTTCCAGATGAGTGACCTGGGGCTCCTCTCCTTCTATCTAGGGATTGAGGTGCACCAGGACCACTCCGGGATCGCGCTTCGACAGTCCGCCTACGCCAAGCGCATCGTTGAGCTAGCCGGGCTCACCGACTGCCATCCAGCTCTCACTCCGATGGAGGAGAGGCTGAAACTAAGTCGCGACAGCACGACGGAGGAAGTGGATGCTACGCAGTACCGACGCCTTGTGGGGAGCCTTCGCTACCTCACTCACACACGGCCGGACTTGGCATTCTCCGTCGGCTATGTCAGTCGGTTCATGGAGCGACCAACGTCGGAACACCAGCAGGCAGTGAAGAGGATCGTCCGCTACATAGCAGGGACCCTCGACCACGGCCTCCATTACCCTAGGTGCCCTGGGGCGGCACACTTCGTCAGGTACAGCGACAGCGACCACGCCGGCGACATCGACACCAGCAAGAGCACGAGCGGGATCCTCCTCTTCCTCGGCAAGTGTCTCGTGAGCTGGCAATCAGTCAAGCAGCAGGTGGTGGCCCTGTCCAGCTGTGAGGCTGAGTACATAGCGGCCTCCACCGCCTGTACTCAGGCGCTCTGGCTTGCTCGACTGCTTGGTGATCTTCTCGTTCAAGACACTAGAACGGTGCAGCTCCTGGTGGACAGCAAGTCCGCCCTGGCCCTGGCAAAGAACCCCGTGTTCCACGAACGGAGCAAGCACATCCGACTGAGGTATCACTTCATCCGCAGCTGTGTGGAAGAAGGGAGCATCGAGGCGAGCTACATCAACACCAAGGATCAGCTCGCAGACCTGCTCACCAAGCCCCTTGGGAGGGTCAAGTTCCTCGAACTTTGCTCCAGGATTGGGATGATTCAACTCTCCCACAAGACGACGCACAAGACTTAGGGGGAGAATGATGGATAAGTCTGTGTACTAGGGTCCTTGTGGGGCTGCAGCACATGGTCCTTGTGGCAGTTAGGAGGATAAAGTCCTGGACCATCAAGGACTGGCTGTTAGGATAGAGTTCTGTTCTTGACCATCAAGGACTGTCAGTTAGCATCTTAGACTAGCATCTTAGACTAGCATCTTAGACTGGCATCTTAGCAGCATCTTAGCATATGCCTTGGCTGGCTAGCAGCCTATAAATATGTATCCCCAACCCCTCAGGTTGGCATGGCATTGTGTGAGAAATAAACCAACGAAAATTGTCCCAACTCTCCTAGTGTCATCCACAACTATCAATGCTCAGGCTGAAAGGTCTAACAATCAGAACATTTCATGACAAGGAACTCAAAAAAATTTATTACCTGAAAATTTAACTTCTCGTTGGCACGAAGATGCATATATGTAATAACATTATCATTGTTAACATCAATCTCTCCAACACCAGGAAGCAGGTTTGGAAAATCCAACCAAAGCCCCGGATTCTGAGATTGGAAAGAAAGATCAGATGGCAAGAAAAATCGTAAGGGTGGATTGGATCTATACTTATGGTATTTCATCAAGCTATAAAGAGACAATACCTTCTTCATACCACATAGATTGTCATAATATACTGGATCCAGTGAGAAAAGATCATTAAAGAATGTAGGCCTGGTGCATTGTGGAAAAACAAATGTAAATAATAACTTCATCAAAAGTAAAATACAAATAGCACAATGAAAGAATAATATCATGTGACATAATGGTTTATGAACAGCAGAACATACTCACAGATTTGTCAATTGATGAGCATTGGAACACATTCAATTTATTTATTCGCAAGTTACATACCAAAACAACTTGTGTGATTGGAAAAAATTAAGCCAACAGTCTGTTGCTAATTGTGCAAGAAAAATTACTTCCCAGAAAATGAAGGGGTAGGGAGGGAGAGAGTTACTTCTCTTTCAACTTCCTTAAAAAGAATATTGCAAATGACAGGTCAACAGGTACCCTCTCATATATGGCCTGGAAAACAAAATTTAAGTAGATGTTTGCAGCACCCAATGAGACATGCAGATTAAAATGTGAAATTCAACATGGATAAAAATATCAACAGGTAGTGCCCAGATAATTCAGTTGGAAAAGCACATGCAAAGCAAACAGTTCCAAAGAAACACTATGACATGCCCATTGACACAGGGAAATCACATAACGGGTAACTATGCATCATTCAGCCTATACAGATAGATGATAGAATCATCGAAGTAAAAAGATTGTTGAACCTCTAGATAAGTAACATGACACGCTATTGCATCTAAAATATAAAATCTCGTGATTCCAAGAGCCAGTAATATCTTGACTTCTTTCCTACAGTCGCATATGAGGCATATTACAGCAGCACCCACATCCAAGGTATGGCGCACCCATACTTTACGTATCAAAATACCCGCATAACATGATTATAACTTGCAGAAACAGGACAATTTTAGTGTCATATATACAAGTTTCTGATAGTAGTTAACTAAACTAAGATATATGATCAAAGACTAGTACCTTCCCGAGTAGAACTCCGAGAGAATGAAACTTCTGAAGATGATGTTCGCCAGCAGTCGATATTGACTCGGGGTTTGGATATAATAAATGATCATCTGTTTCCTACAAATAGGACAAAAATTGTAAGGCACCACCCTGTATTTTTTCCTACCAGCTTTTTACCTACTTGATCACTATAAACTAATAAGACGCATGTTATCTAAGAACGCATTAGTATTATCCCTATAGCCGCTAAACTCCCTAGAAACAAGATGCTCACGGTTGATCCCCTTGCTTGTCGTGGTTGGGCCATTAGTGTCAGTGGGACATGCAGCTTCCCTGGCGCAGAGATAGGGCAACGGAAAGTAGTGGCAACTCTCGGGTGTACTACACCCGCAAAAGATTGAAAAAATGTGATCAAACATTGTCCAAAAAATCTGAACTTTTAGGACATGAAACATTATCAGATGTGTGAGGTTCTTGCAAAATTTCATCTAAAAATAACATCTGAGGAGCTCTCACCAAAAAATAACAAAATCACTGCTCAAACAGTGCACAAAACTTTCAGCAGCGATTTTGTTTTTTTCGGTGAGAGCTCCTCGGATGTTATTTTTCGATGAAACTTGGCAAGAACCTCAAACATATGATAAAGTTTGATGTAGCAAAATTTCAGATTTTTTGGATCTCGTTTGATAAACTTTTTTGAAAGTTTTTGCTAACTCAGGTGTAGTACACCCGAGAGTAGAAAATCCAGTCTCATAGGGTAAGCATCAAACGGTTGTTCTGCATGCAAGGAAAACCGGAGGTAAACTATCACCCGCCATTGCCAGCTAGGTGATTTGTTAGGCTGGTACCTTCCTCACATTCACCCACCTCTCTCTCCCATACCCCCGACGCTCTGGCTAACCCTAGGTCGCTGCCACCTCTCTAGTCCGTGCCCCCGCCGCTTCCCTTTCGTTTTCCCTGCTCACTGGCACCTTCTTCACTCGCTGATACCTTGCAAGTTCTTCTATTATTCCTCCATGCCCGCCCACAGATTGCTGCTACCTCTAACTATACGTCACCGCTGCCTTCATTGCCTCTTCTGGCACAGCAACGGCCATGCCACCTTGCGATCTGCCCTGCCTCCCGCTGGCCTCTCTGGATTGTTTAGATACCTCCGCGGCATCAAATTAAGGTAACCATCCATTGACGGGTTGGCCGGGCGTCCTCTGCTCTTCTCCAACTCCCATCTGGTCACACTCTATTACCTATGCTTTTGTGCATGCATCACATAATGATGCATAGAGGCCACCAGCTAGCAAGACACATAGAGTTGCTGAATAAGAGCCGAGGAAGATGTAACTCATAACTGTGCTGCTTTTTACATATGTTTTTAATGTCGTCAAATGACTAGGACAGCATAGCACATACTCAAAAAATGGGGCAGTGGATTCTTGCGAATATTTAGCAGCGGATCAAAGCATGCTAGCCCTTCTAGTTATGTCTACTAAAACAATGAAATAGATTAAAAGAGTATATACCATGAACAAACCAGCCCGTGCATCGAAAGCAGTCTTAGTCGTGGTATTCATGAAATCACGAAAAATACCACCACCATCAACTCCAGCTTCCCTCATGCCATGCTCATCAAAGAAAACCACTTGAATCTACAAAAATGTCCTTGAAATAAAATGCAGGCAGGCGATGATACATCTACCACTACTCATAGTGTAAAAATTACAAGAAAAAAATGATTATATATGATGCATTTATCATGCCACAAAAGTTCAAACTCATATTATATCCACAAATTGAGAAATAGAAGAAGATAAATTTGTCTGTTAATCCAAATTTGTTTTCTTAACTTCTTAGTGGAATAGCACCAACTACCATAAGAGGTGGTAAAAGGAACAAGAGAAAAAAGATCATCACCATACCGTTCCTTTAAGATCTTCTACAGATAAAAGGCTTATATTGTGAATAGCATCTTCCAGTAATTGGTTTCTTCTGATTTCTAAGGTACGAGGCGCAGGAACTTGTCTAAAGTCGGCCATGTGTGCCTGATCGAATACCAAATATTGCTGATCACAGAACAACGAAATTCATAAGATATTGTCTTAAGAAGTACTCCATCCGGAATAAATTGTCGCTCAAATGGATGTATCTAGACGTATTTCAATGCTAGATACATCCATTTGAGCGACAGGTAATTCCAGATGGAGGGAGTATACAACTCTTATTCTGTAATATTTACACAGCAAATCAGTAATAACATACACTGAAAATTTTGAGTCTAATGTCAAACGGCACCAACAACGGAGCAAGTCTTATAATTTCTGATTCACGAGTCCCCGCAATAGATGCCTGAAAGATACGTACATAATGTTGAACAAATAGGTTTTGAAAACCATTTTGATTATCAACAAAGAGATGCATTACCTGAAGCACAAATTCGTCGCTAAAATCTTCTTTAGAACAAAACTCACTAGCATCAACAAATGAATTTCTGATATTCCAGTCCTCCAACTGCAATTAGATATGGATTTCAGTTTTTTAGTTTATGTATGCATGAAATGATAACCATAGCAACCACTTTAACAAAACAGTGTGGCGAAGAAGTTAATTATCTATGCATGAAACCAAAATATTCCCTCCGTAAAGAAATATAAGTGTTTAGATCACTACTGTAGTGATCTAGTGATCTAAACGCTCTTATATTTCTTTACAGAGGGAGTAGCTTATAATTAATACCGAGTCCAACACTGTCCACGGCGCGCTCTAACTCAACTCGGTGTGTGTGTGTTTGGGGTGGGTGGGGGGGCACTTATTTACAATAATTTGTACCATTATATTCAAAATAGAACTATACAAGTGCAACAAGGAGTGCTCTCAGGTGTGCATACAGATATGTGTTGTTAGCTGAGTCGATGCATTAACAGACTAATGGCCGGGTAATTAATTAGTTAGCCCAACAACTCAAGCTGGAGGGCTGAGATACATACATACACTTGCATGGCACAATGTGCACATACAGGAAGTATTTCCCTGGAACAACAGAAGCCAGCACATCCTTGTGTGGCCTGTGGTGAATGAATCAACCAGATAAAAAACGGTTGAGTGACCAACGCCACTACGAGCACGGCATGCGCACTGCTTAGGGCCCTGGACGGCTTCCTATATACATCAGACGTACAGGGACAACACAGAACTCCCACAAGTGATAACTCACACACGCGAATGAACACACAATCCCAAGCGAGACCCAGTTTCAGAAGCAATTTTGATGGAGACGAACTCATGGGGGCCTATGCATGAACAACAATACGCGCACATGGGCTCACACGGGCGAAGCAATCGATCCATCCATCCACTTGCAAAACCTTACTATGATTGGTATAAAGTACTTACCTTTGTAAATAGTTCACATAGTCCAGTCCTAGCACTGTGCTTAAGACTCTCAGTCAACAATGTCTTACTACCTGGGGTGGGTGATGTCTGTAAAGTAGAGGTTTGTACAGGAATGGTCCACAGAAGTTCCCACAAAGCCTGCAGATTGAAGTTAGAACTTAGAACCATGTCAAAGTGACACCAGACAAAACAGCACATCAGCATAGACTTTGCAGCAGCTCTAATGTTTTTAAGAAATTATGAATTGATAAAGTAGTTTTTTCTGGAAACTGAACAGAATACATAAATTTGTCATATTTACTGCTTACCTCCTTCAAAATGGAAACAAGAGACTTCAACTCCTCAAGAGAAAGAGAGAGAGGTTTCTTACAATCTCTGAACTCCGCAATATCCACCAACTCTAAGATATGGCTGGTACAAAGAAATAAAAAGCATTGATAAGGTATATCTTGACTCTTATAACGGGGGTTTTGCATCTCAATTACTTAGACAGAAGAGCACAAATCAGCAACAGTTTGCAACACTATGAAAAGGTTACTTTACCTATACATGGAGCAGAAAATGGACAAAGGTAGTAGCCAGCTAGGAGTATCCCGCTCAGGAAAAGACTTCCGTTTATCATTCTTGCAGCAGCTCTTTATATAGTTCCAAAGTGCAGGAACAATTTCAGTATTGTACACCAACACAGTCATAATCCCCTCAACAAAACCTGTGCTTAACATGCCATGAAGAAAAGCACTGATAGGTCCTACTAATTGCAGTTTAGCACTTGAAGGGCCAGCTGTATCAGAAGAACCTGTGCTCGATATACCACTAAGTACACCATTCACCTATATGCATGATATGTACTAGAGTCAAACAGAAGAAATAAAATATGAACCGCAATCATCTTAAAGCTACTAACTTATTCAGAAATAAGCATACCAAACATTCAACCGATGTCAATATGTGTCTTTGCAGATCAACATCAAGGTGGTTGAAATCATCAGCTTCAATGGGCATTGCACCATCAACATGTGTACCTGTACATATTTAATAAGCGTAACCGGCAGGAACAAATCTGTAGCTACATCAGACATTTGGTCTTATAAGTCCTGAGAGATCAGCTAAAGCTACGTTTGGGCAACAGGACTGTTTTCCTGGGGGAGGTCCTCCCATGCCCCACTAAGAGCCAAGCCTAATTGAATGAATGAGACTGTTTTGTAAGTATGCCATGTGATTACATCGAAACAAGGAGATGTACTCGTGCATGAGATGACATAACAATACTAAACGAGTTACATAGTACAGACTATGCTAAAATATACAAAGGAAGAGACCAAAATACCTAAGTTCTAGATGTTCAGATGCAATAATCTATGCATATGAGGGTCAACTAGTATGTCATTATGTTGTGTGCCGTAATTTTCCAAGAAGATTAGCAAAATATCCCAGTTGCAGTCTTCAGTACTGCACACAGGATATCAATACGTAATAAATAAGTGTCTCAACTCTGTACTAAAGTTAGTACAAAGTTGTACTGAAGTTGAGACACTTATTTTAGGACGGAGGGAGTATTTTAGAAAGAATATCTATACTTGCCAAATTCGCAACACCTTGCATACATTTTACCATTAATAATTTGAAATTAGATAGGTCACTCATATAGCAACTAAAGTTAAAATGGAGATTTAATACATAAGCATGTAGGTCTTTTTCACTGTTTAGGCTGAAAATTAAGAAGTAATCATTATCAAAGGCCAGAACTAGAAAAAGACGGATTAACTAATAAAAGGACAGATCAGAACTACCTAATCATACTTTCTTTTTTATATTGAATTATCAATAGATTAAATGGTGTCATCTATCTGCATAATCAGACCTTATACTCAGCTAAACATTTTAACCTAATGATATGATCATTTTGCAATAACTGGAACAGGTGAGGCACCCAAATCCCGTATAAAGTCTACTATTCGACTCAGGTGGGTTGTTTCAGAACAGTCGTTTTGAAATTTATCTTACAATATGATTCTTTTATACTATTTAGAAACGCCCGATTGATGGAAAAAGGAAATAATACAATTACAATAAGCTGTGAACTTGACAAATAAAAAAAGATGTGCTTTTCCACGAGTAGAGCTAACATGAAGCATTTATCACTAATCATTATCACGAAGAACTCTCATAGATATGGAACATAAAATGTTACTCCCTCCGTTCCATAATACTTGTCGTGGTTTTAGTTCAAATTTGAACTAAAACCACGACAAGTAATATAGAACGGAGGGAGTACATAAATACTAATTCCTCTGTAAAGAAATATAAGGTTGTTTAGATCACTAAAGTAGTGATCTAAATGGTCTTATATTTCTTTACAGAGGGAGTAGTAAGCCATATTTCCAAGAGATGAAAAGGCTGCTCTGATTTAGTGGAAAGGGACTTACTTTGAATAGATGATGCAATTTTTGGGAACGCATCAAGCAATGAGGTACAAAAATTAATGATTCCAGCTGCCTGGTTTGGAAAGAGCATAAGCAAAAAAATATACATGACTCACTGTAATAAAACCTGACTTCAGTATCTTCAATTAAGATTAAATGGGCATCCATAAGGAAATGAAAAAAAATAGCTATTACATAAGTGGAAATATGATCATATAACAAAACATTCCTATGTTTTAATGAATCACAAGAAGAAAACACATTGTTGGGAACCACTTGACATATATTACTGGTTTCTGCCTCTCTGTTCAGACAATATAAGTGAAGAAAATGTGATTCCCAAGAAAGAATTGACGAGAATGAACAGATCAGATCGGGAAAGATTCCTGATTGAGCAGGATATGTAAGAAACAAAATATATCTTCCATGAAAGTTTTCATAAAAATATTAATTCTGCGGGCTAAGTTGTGACATGAAAGGGGTTACAGCTTGCTACACATTTTATTGACATATAAACAGTTGAAAAGATGACTGTAACATATACTATTTGTAACTTCACGTACAGATATACCATAACCATTATTGTGATGATCACTAAAGAATGACGATAAACTAGCAGAGTGTTTGCTGTGTACAATAATCACTGCAGTGTTTGCAGTTGGTATGGATCAATTAGAACCAACTGACCCTTTCATTAAACTAGTAACGTAAAATTGTACCATAATCATTATCATGAATTCATGATTGATCACCAGAATGCCCATTGGCAGGGTGTTTGCTGTGTGCAAAGCAGCTGGTATTAGATCAAATAGGCTTAGCACCAACTTAACCTTTCCACCTCAGCTCAAAATTTGAAAAAAAAAAATATGCCTAACATGATTTTCAGAGTACAGGGAGCTAATTGCCTTTTCCTAATATGCAATTCTGCCTTACTTTTTACAAATAGAAACAACTGAAATGTTGCAGTAACCTGAAAGGCAGAAGCAGAACACCTACTCTGTCAGAATCGAAGCCTGATTCAGAGAAAATCAAAGTCGCAATGTCAAGTACATTTGAAAGTACATATGCTTGTCCAGGATGGTTAGCCAATGTGTCGTTTGGAAGAACGTCAGCGCAAGCTATCTGATACATATACTCTGTTTTGAATTCATCAGCAGATAAAACCTGAAATGAAAAACAATCCAATGTAGAATCACTGCATGGCTAATACAAGATACAACCACTCAAAAAACTCGTATAAATGGAAGTTTATAATGCAGAAATAATAATAGCTCATATTTAACACTCCGAAATTTCCATGTTCACGTATCATCAAACTGTTTTGAGAAATAAATTATGAAACAAGGTATTAAGGAGAACACTCACCTTCATAAACTCTGGCAACCGATGACATAGAAAAGGAATGGTAAGAATCTGCGAGGAAAAGCTCCATTTTGGATCCAAAAGTACACAAGAACATGGATGGTTGCCAACATGTGAAGCAACAAGTGCAAGAACTTCATAAAGTGCAGACAGAAAATCACGATGCTTCAATTGCCGTTCATTTTGCTGAAAAACGATCAGAACCATTAAAAAATCATAAAATAGATCATCAAATATTTAATACAACTGTCGTGATAAATTCCAAATAACTGAACGACAGAAATAAACCAGCACGGATTGGCTGCACCAGACAGTATATAATAAACTCCCACATTACCTACCAACAAATGCCTATCAAAACAAAGTCAATATATGTTATCATGGAGTTTTTTAGAGAGCATGCAAACAAGTGTTTGCACATCTTTTCATGAAGAGGAGAAGCAAATAGATAATCAGGCAGCAAGTGCCAACATCAAAGAATAAACAACAGTTAATACAGACAACACACGCTAGCTACTGCTTGTAGCAGTTTGAAAGCCTGCCAACATCTCTCTGCCTCTGCCTTAAGGTCATTTGCCATAGACAGGAGGTTCATGCCCAGTTGCCCACCCCCCAGGAACATCCTGCTGTTAAGCTCCAGCCTATTGGGCCAAACATTGAGGTAGACCATGGAGTCGAAATGTATGACACCCGATTAGATCACAAGAAAACTAAGTGTGTTTGCATTACATAGGGCCATGCTATTCTGCTAGAGAGTCCTGCACTCCGGCCAGAATAGTGCAGGACACGTTTCACTCTTTGATCGTAAAAGCTTCTATCAGATCATATACTCTATTATGTCCTTTGGTGCATAGTTGGAGTTCACTGTTCTATTGTAAATGCCTGATATAAAACCATAAATGCTAGTAGACATAACATTACTCAACAAGAATGTAGCCATTGCTTAAGATTGTAAAAGCTTGTGTACAGGGTCATAGAAGCTTGTAGAGAGGATCGTAAATATGCTTGCAACATATTATAAGAGCTTGCTTTTAAAATCGTGAAGGCTTGTGAACATGAACATGATTGTAAGACGTTCCATGCATACATGATCGTAGTGCATGGGTACTGCAGAATTTATTATTGGAACTGTATCTGTTTCGTATGGTCTAGCAGTAGCAGCGGGCGGCTGGATTTAGTAATCACATGGTATTTATGATCGAGCGTAAAGCCCTGGAGACCACATCTGTACGCTAAGGCATGAGAGCAGTGCAGCAAGAGGGCAGAGCATAGAATAACATGTTCTACAGTCCCTGCTGCCAAATGGTTATGTGAATATATAAACACTACCAATGCACATATGAACTCTTGTACACATAGGGTGTTTGGTCAGAAATTCAACATATGGCTATGTAATTCTTAGAACAGAAGCTGTGTATTGTAAAGAATGAAGGCATAACACCTGGGAGACAGGAACCTCATACCAGCAATAAGACTTCCATCCATGACTTCTATAAATTAATGAATTTTATTGTATTGTATGCATTGTTTCCCAATGTTCACATGAGTTTGGCACAGGCTAGCAATTATTAAGGGGGCACAACTAGCAATTATTCATAGCCAGTTGAAAGCAGACTTATCGTTGGTAATTAAAAACAAAGGCAGAACCATAAGAAACACAAACATACCACGACAACCATGATGATCTCCCGAAATAAGCAGAAGACCTTTTTCTGATGGAGATATCCAATTACTTCACAGTTCCATGGAAGCTTGTGACTCAGTAAGCATATCGCTGTTCTAAGTAATTGGACAAAAGGCATGAGATCACTCTCTGATGATGCCTCAGGTTGGTTAACCAACTGAAACCTGTCAAAATGCAATAAACAAGTCAAAGGCAATATTGTTCATTTATCATGTATAGAAGTACTTGTTAATGAGATTCATTATGGCTGTAACTGAATGACTCACCTCTTGACATAGAGAGCATCAATACACATGTGTAAAAATTTCCTCACTCTGATGATCACTGAAGGTCCCACTTCAGAGTAATCCACGGTTGCAAAAAGACTGACAAGACCTCCTGCTACAAAAGAAAATGAGAACAAATAGCAAATAAGAAGTTGTGACAAATATTGTACTCCCTCCGTAAACTAATATAAGAGCGTTTATAGAATACTAAAGTAGTGATCTAAACACTCTTATATTAGTTTACAGAGGGAGTACTATGTAATATCTAGAGCTATCTAAAAGTGCTTAGGGTAACAGGATATTATCGCATGATGCTTACCATCACATTTAACATACTGTAGAAGCATGCCACATACTTGACAAAGTATGTCGACATCATCGTCTAGCTTTGCATCAAAGAAGAAGAATAATTGACCAAAAAAATCAGCAGCCTCTCCATGTAATTTCCTGATAGTGGCAATAGCATGATTTTATGAGCTCCACTACAAGAAAAAAAAATATGCTTTGGCAATTCATACCAGTCCACGTTTTGACGAAATCCCTCAAAAGTCTAACAAAATTTATCCCGAAATTCAGAGCGTTTTAATGCCGTAGCATACTTCCTCTTAAGTATCTCTGCAGTTTAATAGTTTTTGGAAACCATTCAGGAAACAACTTTCACCAAGCGAAATTGGGGGCGGTCTAACAACGAACCGAAACCCAGAGACTTGTAAGCCCGCTCAACTAATTTACCTGGATTTGTTTTGCGGAGGCATTCTGCTTCTCCAGTAGCGCCTGGCTGTCCAGCTTCCTAGGGTCTCCGGAGGAGGACATCACTGCCAGAAAATCAAAGAAAATCCATCGAATTCACGGGGCAGGACAGACAAGATTACTAGGGTTTAGAACGAGATGTCACCTGGGATCCGGAGACAGACGGAGCGCGAGATCTAGGACCAGGTTTGCTTATGCGAAACCCTAGAGCCTTCGAAAGATCGGAATGCGGCTGGAGGGAGGCGCTCGGGGCGGGGGTCTCCGAGGTGCTCGTCCGAAAGTGCGGGACAATTCCCGCCGGAGGAATGGGGGAGGGGGAGGGGAAGGCCGGTGGAGTTGTGTGCGCACAGGGAGGGGAAGGCCGAGGAGCTACTCTTTATTGGAAAATAGAGCGGCCCAGCCCAGTTTAACGCGATGACTCCTTTTTGGTTCGCTGTGTCGCTCGTTGGTTTATCAACCAGGAGTCGTCTCAAAAAAAAATCAAGCAGGAGTAGTTGTCAAAAAAAAAAAAGTTGTCTGCCGCTGGATTTTTTTAAATAGGTGTCGCTCGTTGATTTGCTCATTAGTGGGTACTCTTTTTTTTTTAGAAAAACTTTTTTTAGAGAAAAAGGGCTCCTGCCCCGGTTCCATTACTTAAAATGAAACCACAGAACTAATCTCATTACAGCCCGCGGGAGAGTTTTTTAGCACTCTCCGGCATAAAATCCATCATGACTCTGCAACAACCTCATACACTTTTCCAGCTACTCAAATGTCTACTGACAAGAGAATTAAAAGGCTAATGCAGAAACTCAGGGAGGCTTGGAACTGGTCTCTGAAGGAAATATGCCCTAGAGGCAATAATAAAATTATTATTTATTTCCTTATATCATGATAAATGTTTATTATTCATGCTAGAATTGTATTAACCGGAAACATAATACATGTGTGAATACATAAACAAACATAGTGTCACTAGTATGCCTCTACTTGACTAGCTCGTTAATCAAAGATGGTTAAATTTCCTAAACATAGACATGAGTTGTCATTTGATTAACGGGATCACATCATTAGGAGAATGATGTGATTGACATGACCCATTTCCGTTAGCCTAGCACTTGATCATTTAGTATATTGCTATTGCTTTCTTCATGACTTATACATGTTCCTGTAACTATGAGATTATGCAACTCCCGTTTACCGGAGGAACACTTTGGGTGCTACCAAACGTCACAACGTAACTGGGTGACTATAAAGGAGTACTACAGGTGTCTCCAAAGGTACATGTTGAGTTGGCGTATTTCGAGATTAGGTTTTGTCACTCCAATTGTCGGAGAGGTATCTCTGGGCCCTCTCGGTAATGCACATCACTATAAGCCTTGCAAGCAATGTAGCTAATGAGTTAGTTACGGAATGATGCATTACGTAACGAGTAAAGAGACTTGCCGGTAACGAGATTGAACTAGGTATTGGATACCGACGATCAAATCTTGGGCAAGTAACATACCGATGACAAAGGGAACAACGTATGTTGTTATGCGGTTTGACCGATAAAGATCTTCGTAGAATATGTAGGAACCAATATGGGCATCCAGGTTCCGCTATTGGTTATTGACCGAGAATAGTTCTAGGTCATGTCTACATAGTTCTAGAACCCGTAGGGTCCGCGCGCTTAACGTTACGATGACAGTTTTATTATGCGTTTATAAGTTTTGATGTACCGAAGTTTGTTCGGAGTCCCGGATGTGATCACGGACATGACGAGGAGTCTCGAAATGGTCGAGACATAAAGATTGATATATTGGACGACTATATTCGGACACCGGAAGTGTTCCGGATGTTTTCGGAGAAAACCGGAGTGCCGGAGGGTTACCGGAATCCCCCTCGGGAGAGATAATGGGCCACATGGGCCTTAGTGGAAAGAGAGAGGGGCGGCCAGGGTGGGCCGCGCGCCCCCTCTCCCTCTGGTCCGAATTGGACTAGGAGGGGGGGCGCCCCCTCTTTCCTTCCCCCTCTCCCCCTTCCTTTCCCCTCCTAGTAGGAGTAGGAAAGGGGGAGTCCTACTCCTACTAGGAGGAGGACTCCTCCTCCTGGCGCGCCCTCTAGGGCCGGCCGGCCTCCCCCCCTTGCTCCTTTATATACGGGGGCAGGGGGGCACCCTGGAACACACAAGTTGATCTACGGATTGTTCCTTAGCCGTGTGCGGTGCCCCCCTCCACCATATTCCACCTCGGTCATATCGTCGTGGAGTTTAGGCGAAGCCCTGCGCCGGTAGAACATCATCATCGTCACCACGCCGTCGTGCTGACGGAACTCATCCCCGAAGCTTTGCTGGATCGGAGCCCGGGGATCGTCATCGAGCTGAACGTGTGCTGAACTCGGAGGTGTCGTACGTTCGGTGCTTGGATCGGTCGGATCGTGAAGACGTACGACTACATCAACCGCGTTGTCATAACGGTTCCGCTTACGGTCTACGAGGGTACGTGGACATCACTCTCCCCTCTCGTTGCTATGCCATCACCATGATCTTGCGTGTGCGTAGGAATTTTTTTGAAATTACTACGTTCCCCAATAGTCTCCATCATTTTCTTTTTTCATCCTGCCATGAGTAGCCCTCCCTCGATTCCGCACCATCCTTCCGTCTTCTTCTTCTGATAGTATTTCACCCACAGTTCCTTCTTCCTCATCCTAGCTCTGGCCAGAGCAGCAGTGGCGGCCGCCTGGACAGTTCCCACAGAGATGATGTTAGATTCTCCACGCGCTCTCTTGCAGCCTCTTTGCACAGGATCTTCCATTGGTTGCAGAATCCTGCAATTCTCCTCAGGATCACCTGCACTCCCAACCATGGGGAATTGTTAAAGCACATATCATTTCTACATCTCCAGACAACCCAGAGAGTAGCTGAGACAAACATATTGTCAACTTGCAGGGATTTATGTTTCTCCCATTTGTCAATCACATAATTAAATCCAGGCTGGGGCATACATCCCACAACCTCATGAATTTTTTTCCACACTTCTACAGCCACAACACACTCAAAGAAAAGGTGGCTACTAGTCTCCTTTTCACAACAAAATAAGCAACTAAGATCATCTAAGTGCTGCCTCTTGCTCAGGTTGCTCCTAACTAGCAATTTATCCTGAGCAAGTAACCACAGGAAAATATGAATGTTAGGTGGGACATGCAGTTGCCAAACTTTTGGAATATGCACAGGGGTAATCCCCCTAAAGTTTATCATGGCATATAGGGATCTCACTGAGTATCTCCCATTATGCTCAAGTTTCCAAATAATAGCATCATCATCATTTAGAATAACTGACTGCGCAATACTCAGCAAATCAAACCAAAGATGCAGTAGCCTATTGTCTACACATCTTCTGAAAGAAATCTTAAGATTTGTACCATCCCAAACTTCACGATAGTTTTATTGTGCTCATTGGCAATACTATACAACTCCCAAAATTGAATGGATAAGCTACAGGACCCAAACCAGTGATCTTCCCAAAATTTAGCTTTCCTACCATTCCCCGCTTTCCATTGGTAGCCCATCTTTGCTGCTTTAGCAGCCCAAAGGACTCCTTTCCAGAAGGGGGAGTAGGCACTGCTCTCAGGGCAAGAAAGAATATTAGGATTACTAGTCCTATATTTAGCATCCACAATTTTCTTCCATATTTTTTGTTCACCTCTTTGATACTTGTCCACCCAAGCAGCAAGTAAGCAAAGGTTCATGTCAGCAATATTGGGGATCCCCATACCACCATACTGTTTTTTATTCAATAGACCCCAGCTAGCTAGGTGGTACTGAAAGTGCAACTATCCCTAGGTGGTTTTGGTAATTAATAACAACATATAGCTCATTGAGCTAATACTATTCCACGACTATTATTTCAGGAAAGCTCAATGAATGGCATGGCATGGATGATGAAAGTGGATCCCTCAAAATACTAAGGACAAAGGATTGGCTCAAGCTCAAAAGCTCAAGACTCTTCATTTTACATTTTAGTGATCCAAGATCACATTGAGTCTATAGGAAAAGCCAATACTATCAAGGAGGGATGAGGTGTTGCTTAATGAGCCTCTTGCTTCAATGTGCTTAGTGATATGCTCCAAAACCCTCAACTACTTTCCCACATCCACAAATGACCTAAACCCAAAGCCAAAATCGGTCACACCGAAACTTCCTATCCGGCACCACCGATTCCAAAAGTCATAGCCACTGCCACAAACCCTAAGCAAGTCGGTCTTACCGATAGGGATCTCGGTCTCACCGAGATGTGGTTGCAATCTCTCTGTTTCCCTTCGTAACGTTTCGGTCTAACCGAAATGAGCGATCGGTCCCACCGAGATTGCAACGTAAACTCTCTGTTTCCTTTTTGTAACATTTCGGTCTCACCGAAAAGAGCAAATCGGTCTCACCGAGTTTACCTGACCAACTCTCTGGAAAGCTTATTACCAAATCGGTCTCACCGAGTTTGTGTAATCGGTCTTACCAAGATTACGTTATTCCCTAACCCTAACCGAATCAGTCTCACCGAGATGCATGTCGGTCCCACCAAAAATCACTAACAGTCACTAGGTTTACTAAATCGGTCCAACCGAGTTTAACAATTCGGTCCCACCGAGTTTGGTAAATTGTGTGTAACGGTTAGATTTTGTGTGGAGGCTATATATATCCCTCCACCTCCTCTTCATTCGTGGAGAGAGCAATCAGAACGAACCTACACTTCCAACTTACCATTTCTGAGAGAGAACCACCTACTCATGTGTTGAGACCAAGATATTCCATTCCTACCATATGAATCTTGATCTCTAGCCTTCCCCAAGTTGCTTTCCACTCAAATTTTCTTTCCACCAGATCCAAACCCATTGAGAGAGAGTTGAGTGTTGGGGAGACTATCATTTGAAGCACAAGAGCAAGGAGTTCATCATCAACGCACCATTTGTTACTTCTTGGAGAGTGGTGTCTCCTAGATTGGCTAGGTGTCACTTAGGAGCCTCCGACAAGATTGTGGAGTTGAACCAAGGA